GTTTTTCCCTCTAAAGACTTAATAAGTATTTCTAGAGATGTCACTGCAAGCCATTGCAATACTTGAAACGGGGACATTTCCCTTAAAAGTACAAAAGAATCAATCTCCTAGGCAACTCTACCTTGTCATAGTTCAATATAAGGTTGGCTCATGACATCCTCCCCCACTCAATCTGTCGACATCCTTATTGACTGGTTAGTTTAGAATTCTTCAATCTTTTATTGGAATAGGCAAAAATCGATTTCTTTCTCCAAGGTGATCTTATCTGGCCTTAAACCTTCCCATCTCACTAGGTACTCCTGTGTCGATTGTCAGCTGATTATCATCAGCCTCCCCACCAAAATGTCCTTTATTTCACACTATGATGGTGGCTTAGTGCTTATGGTAGTTTTTGTGGCTTGACTCCTACTAGCATCTACTAGATCTGCATGGAATGGCTTTAGGTTGTTGACGTGAAACATGGGGTGTACCTTCATCCACTTGGGTAAATCAGTCTTGTTGGAAGTCTTTCCCACCTTATCTACAATCGATATTGGACTTTCATACTTTCGTACTAGTCTTCGATCTTTCTTCTTTAGGAATCAAAGTTGTTCAAGTACCAATTTTGCTTGCACCAAGTCTCCCACTCTAAAGTATTGCCCCCTTCGACCTTTATCTGCTCACTTTTTCATGCAATTGAAGGCTTTTTTTAAATAAGCTCTAACGATTTTATTATTTTATCTCTACTCCTTAACAAAGTTGAACGCTCAAGGACTCTTCTCGCTCTATGATTCCACTGAGGTACAAGGAAGTCTAGGTTGTTGTCCGGTGACGACCTTGAAAAGGGTTCTATTAGTGGCTAAGCTCTTTTGTGAATTAAAACATAGTTGAGCCATACTTAGTAGGTTGAGCTAATTCTTCTAATTTGCCTTTATGAAGTGTCATAGGTATTCTTCTAACAACCCATTGAAGCACTTTGTCTGACCATCTGTTTACTGATGATAATCGGAAGATGTGTTAAGTTCTAATCCTAACAGCTTGAAAAGCTTTTTCTAGAAAAAGCTTGTAAACCTTAGATCTCTGTCACTGGTAATGCTTTCAGGAATACCCTAATAGTTTACCACATGTTTAGAAACCATACAAGCCATTTCTTCTGTGGAGCCAAACTTTTACACCAGAATGAACATCGTGTGCTTGGAGAAACAGTCCACCACTACTAAAATGACTGTCATATATCCCAGTTTAAGAAGTCCTATAATAAAGTGTTAGTCCTAAAAAGCATGCTAAAAGGGAGGTGAATAGCACTTTTAGAATGACACTAACATTCCTTCCAAGTAAAAAGCTGATTAAAGGAATTTGAAAATGGAAGTTTAAAGCTTGTTAGGGGAATGATTTAAGTGCTAAGAATAAAAAGAAAATAACAAAAAGTAGATAAAATATAATGATTTATAGTGGTTTAGTCCCCTTGACCTACATCCAGTACCCTGATCTCCTAATCAAGGATTTTTAAACCAATTCACTAAAATTAGTGGAATTTCTAAGCTTTTACCAAGCTTTTACAATGACTTTTCACAAGCTCAGCCATAAACTTTAACAATGATTTTTTTCGAGATCAAGCAAAACCCAAAACTAACTTTTCTAAAGCTAAATTAGAACCTATAATAACAACTAAGCTAAACCAAGCTTGATCAACCCCTTAGAGTGTCTCGC